AATTTCCTGACAGTGAGAACAATTAATCAGTGGGACAGAAGTTGCCTCCAGAAGTTGTGGGTGCTTCATCACTGGAAGTTTTGAAGAAGAGACTGGACAGCCATTTGTCTCAAATTGTACAGTGTCTGTTCCTTGAGCAGGGGGATGGACTAGAAGACCTCCAAGGTCCCTTCCAACTCTGTTGTTCTTCTTTCTTCCTTTCCCTCCCCTTTTTCTATTTTCCTTCCCTTCTTTTTTCTCTCCTTCTTTCCTTCTCTTCCCTTCCCTCCCTTCTCTTTTTTATCTTCCTTCCCTTTTCTTTCCTTCTTTCCTTTCCTTCCCTTTTTCTATCTTTCTTCCCTTCCCTTTTCTTTTCTTCTTTCCTTTCCTTCCCTCCCTTCCTTTCCCTTTTCTTTTTCTATCTTCCTTCCATTCCCTTTTGTTTTCTTCCCTTCCCTCCCTTTTTCTATCTTCCATTCCCTTTTCTTTCCTTTTTCCTTTCCTTCTCTTTTTCTATCTCTTCCCTTTTCTTTCCTTCTTTCCTTTCCTTTCCTTTTTCTATCTTTCCTTCCCTTCCCCTTTTCTATCTTCCATTCCCCTTTCTTTCCTTCTTTCCTTTCCTTCTCTTTTTTATCTTTTTTCCCTTTTCTTTCCTTCTTTCCTTTCCTTTCGTTCCCTTTTTCTATCTTCCCTTCCCTTCTTTCCTTCCCTTTTTCTATCTTCATTTCCTTCCCTTCTTCCCTTTCCTTCCCTTTTTCTATCTTCATTTCCTCCCCTTCCCTTTCCTTCTTTCCTTCCCTTTCCCTTTCCTCCAATAACTAAGAGGTTGCCCGAAAGAAGAATGGCAGCTGCCACATTCTCCAAAGCACCTGAGGGCAGGGTAAGAAGCAATGGGTGGAAACTAATCAAGGAGAGAAGCAACCTGGAATTAAGGAGAGACTTCCTAACTTAATTAACCAGTGGAACTGCTTGCCACCAGAAGTTGTGAATCCTCCAACACTGGAAATTCTAAGAGGAGACTTAAGTAGACAGCCACTTGTCTGAAATGGCTCCGGGTCTCTTGCTTGAGCAGGGGGTTGGACTAGAAGACCTCCAAGGTCCCTTCCGGCTCTGTTACTCTGAGCCTAGCTGATGCTTTGGCAAGAAGCGACGTAGATATATATCCAGCTGAATCCTCCATCCAGCCAAATTGTAGTCTGACCAAAACCGCTATAATTATCGGCTGGTTCAGATCCGAGCAGAATCTCGAGTGCTGGGAATTGGGTTTGCTTGCTTGTTTATAAGCCTGTAATTATCAAACGGATTCCGAGCGGAGTCAAGCTGATTGCCGGTTTGAGGAAAACCCTCCACTGGTTTGGATCTTGGCTGAGCCGGGTGAGCTCATCAGAGCGTGGTTTTTTTTATTTCACGGAACGCGGGCCGGCCACACCGCGCATCCCCCGGGAATCGAAACCAGAGGCCGGCTGCTCCTCGCAAGGCGAGCTCTAAGGGTTGCTCCAGATGTTTTGGGATTGCCTCCAAGGCGCCTATTATTATTGGTCCTACCCAGTGGTGGGATTCAAATAATTCAACAACCGGTTCTCTGCCCTAATGACCATCTGGGTAGGTGGAGCTTGGTGGTCATGTGGCTGGGTGGGCGTGGCCAACTCAAGGTCACTCAGGTCGATGGGCGCTTCGCTTTAGCTGTTACAATGTAATAAGGGTT